ATTTAAATAAAAAAATTTAATTTTAATTTATATATATAAATTTAAATTCTTAGTAAATATAGTTTATACCAATAAGCCTTTAGTAACCCGATATGTATCCAGTTTAGAAAAACATAGAATACATATTGGGTTTTCTCTATCACATATCAGAATACCGATATGGTACTAATATGTTACTAATATGATGTCGATATTTATCTGATAGGTGTCCTATATAAGCCAAATTTCTGTTTAATATAGGAGTCATATCGGATACATATCGGATTTAACTATCGGTAAACTATCATTTTACTACTGGGCACCTATCGGTACATATCGGCATACCGATATCTACCCGGTAGTTCTTCATTTGACCTGTAAGTATTGGAGAGGTCTTTAGCAAGCGATGCTGCAGCCGATAGTTAAAAGTTGATAGAAAAAATTTAAAGGAGTGTTCAGATGATGTGAAGAGGTCCGTGGAGTTGGTCTTGATTATTTCAGGAGGTCTCAGGCTGTGTGTTCCCAAATAGGTTCTAGGATTTGTGATAGAATCACTACCCACCTTTGGAAATAGATTTGTCCAGTTAGGGTGTTAAACAGGTATTGTAATATTATATAATGGACCCTTATTTGGCCGATTAAAGATAGATGGTCAGCAGCAGCGTTGTGGAGAGGAGTATTATTGACTTAGATTAGTACTATTGGAGGATAGATTCGAGGGCAATTATGCTGTAGTTGGGATGGTGAAAGCAACAAAAAAGAGAGCATTGGGTAGAAATAGGGTTTTAAGGAGTTATATATAAGCCAGCTAAATTGGAAATCTATGCATATTGTGCATATATTTTGAAAGTGAAGAAAAAGAGAACGCAATTCGATTCTATTGATGATCTCATATATGTATTTCATAGTCATGTGGTTGGAATAGTTGAGTGACAAATGAGATGCCGTGAACGAAGTCACGTGGCATCCATTTGTCACGAGACCGTGACCCAGTTCATGATATAGAGGTGATGACTGGTAAATATGAGATAATGGTGACAGGTATTGTAGTGTAAGAAGTGGGTAAGAATGATGTATTGAGTTGGAGAGGTTGAATATATAAGTATGAGATCATGAGTAGTGGCTATTTAAGAGGAGAGGTGTGGGAAATTGTTTTTCCTTTTTTGTCTTTGCTGCTAGCTCGACTGAAGTCCAGCTTTGTCATTAGTACCCGCCTACCCACTACTAGATAGGAGCTTTTGTGAGTTTGGTGGTTTTATGAAGGGTTCAATAGCTTGGGTGGACAACCCAAATATCGAAGTTAAGTGGCTGGTTGGCCTGGTCGAACAGGTTGGGTATTGGGAAGAAGAGAGTAAGAAACTGTGAATGAGTCATGAGGTATCTATTACAGGACTGTGACTCAGCCCATGACGTAGGTGGGTTGATATGGGGTGTTTTGTGGTAGGTAGTTTATAAGTACGGCCGATAGCCTGGGTGTCAAAAATTAATGCTTTGATAGCTGAAGGGTGTTAAAGAAAGCGAATTCGATTTCTGTGAAAGTTACATGGCATCTGTTTATTACAAGACAGAATTAAAGTATGAGTTATTGGTTATGAGTATAGGAAATGAGTAAAAATGAGGTATTGTGTGAGAGGTATTGGTTTGGTTGAGTAAGTATAAGTGACAAGTATAGAAAATGAATAAGAATAAGGTATTGTGCGAAAGATTTAAGAGGAAAAGAGTAGGGAATTGTTCTTCCTCTTTTGTCTTTGCTGCTAGCTCAGTACAAGTCTAGCTTTGTTGTTAGTACCCATCCACCCGCCATTGGAAAGTAGATCTTGGTGGATTAAGTTGACATACAGGTGTGATCGATAGCCCGGGTTGCAGCAGGGATGTAGAGGGATGAGGAAATGAGGTTTGATAAATCATAAGTTTGGTTTTGATAGCCTGGGTAAGCCACCCGGATATCAAAGAGAAATAATTGATAGCCCGATCGAACAGATCAAATGTCAAAAAAGAAGAATGGTAGTATATGATGCTATAGGAACAGCTATAGACCACGTGAGCAGTGAGGCAAAATCTCATATATGTATTTCATAGTCATGTGGTTGGAATGGTCGAGTGACAAATTAAAAAACGTGATTTTTTGTTTTGATTTCACGTTACACCTAATCTTGTAATCTAATTAGTCAATCGCTATCGATTAGTAAAAATCTGTTGGTACCACTGGGGTACTTCACTAACTACTGGACTGATTGTGAGTTGGTTTAACATAACACATTCAGAAAAGTAACCGAACGTTCGTTTTAAAAAAATCATCTATTCGGACAAAAAGCATTAATCTATTCGACATCATATAAACCTCCAATTTGTCTAACCATTCTATTTTTCTGACCATTTAGATTTTTATCATGAAATTTTGGTCATCAAATACGGGTTAATAAATCCTTTAGACCATCTGCCTGATATCTAACAAATAAGTACTTGTTATTGGTTATGTTGTAGACGATAACTGATTTATTGTTGGGATATAATACGGAGCATATGCCGCAAAGTGGCACATGCTCTGTGTTATAATCCTGACAATAATTAATAGTTATTAGGCACAAAGTGCCCAATAACTGAGTTATTTGCTGTATGCTATTTGATTGGTCGATTTAAGTACCGAAGGTGCTTAAAATTCGACCAGTCAAATCATATGGCAAATAACGGTAAAGTACAATAGTGTTCTAATACTTGTAAAGCATAATAGTGCTTTACTAGAATTAGAACACTATTGTACTGTAGTTATGAGTACTTCATGCTTGAATAACTGGATTATTCGGCATTTATATTTATTGGATTTTGCATACTAATTATTGACCAATTTGAAATTTTATCATTTTTATGCACGTGAGTTATGCACATTGTTCAAATATATTTTAAATCTGGTACGGATTTAAAAATAATTCGGATAATGTGTGTAACCCACGTGCATAAAAATGATAAAATTCAAATGCCGGATAACAGTTTGTAAATGCAAAATTTGATACATAGAAAATGCCGTATAATCAGATTTATCAGCTACAATTTAACTAATAACACGGTTATACAATGCTTCTGACATAAGCACTGACCTTTTTCATATATAATGATCACTTTTTAATCTCAATTATACTTTCACTTACTTTCTTTTTCCAATACACATTTAATAAAAACTGTTTTTTTAAAAAAAAAATTATGGATCTTAACTCTGCTTCGCAACTTTCAATACAAGAAGAAATAAATCAACTACAAGAAATGTCTCTAGTAACAAATACTAAAAAAAAATATAGCAAAGTGGTTTAGAACATTGGACTGGTTTAATAAAAATTGTGGTAAAACTCAACCAATTAAATTAATAGATAATACTAAAGTGCTTAAAAATTATTTATATAAATTTATAACCTGGTTAAAAAAAGAAAATGAATTAGATTACAAGATTGAATCGATTCATAACTACTACAATATTATTAATCAATATTTTAAAGAAAATAATATTCTTCTAGCAATAAAAATCTGTAATCATTACAAATTTTTTTGTATTTTCATATACTCAATAGAAAAATGAGGATGCTACAAAATAAAGAATTAGGTGATCCAAAAAAATTAGATAGATTAATTTCTAAAGAAATTAAGCAGATGCTTACTTACCCATATATAGATACTAATTTAAATAAATTGTTATGTTGTTATATTTTTTCTGATTGTGCTTACTATATGAATTACAAGATGGCAATACATATTATATTAATAAGAATAGTCTTCAACATCATTGTGATAGTGAATTGAAACTTATACTAAATAAAAAGAAAACCAATCAAAGTGAAGTTTTTATCAAAACAAATATAGCAAAACTGATTACAGCAAATCTCTATATCTCCTAACTCACCTAACAATTGATATACTCTAATCAAAGATATTCTCTTATATTTATCTAAATTATCTGATTTAACTTCATTGCAAGATCTATTGTTTCATAAAACCTGTAAAAGACAACAAGATAAATACTTAATACTTATGTATATATAATTATTTAACTTTAATTTTTTTTATTTATCATTATTTCTAGATTTAAAAAAGAATCATTAGTTCAAAATAATTAGATAGATTACACAAAACTTAAAAAAATGTTAAATAATATTATAACAAATACCAGAATCAATCTTGATAATAACTGGCTAATTACTAATTACTCATATTGCTGTATAGCAATTTAATTTTTAAAAAATAATAAAGTTTTCGAATCGGAGCTTCAAACATTTTTCAAATACTGTTTTTGTAAAAGTTTAACAGATTACTGCCAAACTAGTGATAATTAACATTTAACAAATACAATAATATTAATTCTATATTCACTCCAATAATTGAACTTGGATGAATTTGAGTATAATAATTATTATAAAAATTTTTTAGATAAAAAATTGGATGTTGATAATTGTGATGGTAATTTTAAAAACAATTATTATTTTTTATTATAGTTTATAATAGTTTTAAGTATTCTATATCTCAAAAAATTCAAATACAAAGCCTACTCAACTTTATAATTCAAGAAGTTTAACCCACTTTATCTGCTATTTAACCTCTTAATACTATAAGTCAAGAAACTCAAACACCAGCTCTAACAACTATTTAGACACCCGATGATACTATAGTAACATCCAATTCTATAAAAAAAGAACCAAAAAAATGTATTAATAATTCTTTTATTTTAATTTTTTTTATTCTTATTTAATTTTATTAATATAGTTGAACCTTCCTAAATGCAACCTCCATAAATGCAATACCTCCCTAAATGCACATTTTTGTCTTGGCTGTATGAAATCATTAGTGCTAAATGCACATTCTATATTCTACAAATACATGTTCACTCAAAAGATTTTTTATATCATACTAACCTCTCTAAGTGCACGTAGCCAATCAGAAGTCAGTATTTAAGTTTGTTACACAAGTTTGCAAATCAAATATTAAAAGCTGCAATTTGATTGGCTTCCTCTAAATGCAAACCTTCCTAAATGCACATTTTAGGCTAGTCTGTACATGTTGCATTTATGGAGGTTTGACTGTATAATTTTTTTTATTAATTATAAAAGTGAAGCAAATCTCAAGAATATTTAGAATGAAACCCACAATAAGAATAATCCTTACCCTGCATCTTCTGTAATGACACTGTTCAAACCACCCTGCCATCCTGATTCTCCAATGTTTGCATTGTATGAAAAACATCAAAAATCATTGTCAAGTGTTAATAACAACATCATTATTCAACTTCCCCCAAGTACATCACAAAGTTATGATTTAAACATAAAATTGAAAATTAATTAAAAAATTAGATTTCATTTTATGTATCTTTAAATTTGTTAATAAATTTAAATGTATTTAGCTTATTATTGAGAATTTATTAGCTGTTTAACTATAAAGTGACAAAAATTTGTGTATTGTCAAATATAAAGTAAGTGAAAATTTGTGTATCAGTGATTATAAAGTGACGAATAATATATGAAAAACGTCAGGTGCTTACATAGGAAGTGTCGGATAACATGTTTTAGTCATCAGTAATTTCGATCTTTCACAAATTTCTGAAGTGCGATCCTCCTATTCATTAATGAAGCGATTACATTTTTTGTTATTAAAACTGGTCACTTCACATTATCGTCGTTTATAAAGTTTGCAAGACCTTTTTAAAACAGCATTCCATTACACCCTTGGTAATAGATCCAAGTGTTAGTTGAAAGAATCTATTCTAAATGAGCATTTATTCCCGGTTCTTATTTATACTTCCGTACTATCTTTTCACGTTTATTGCCCAGATTTCAGATTCGGACTGATCCGGAGTTTTTATATTTCTTTTTGATTATATATCTTTTTTACTTTTTTTTTAATGATATACGAAATTTTAAACCATTAACATTAACGTTATTAACGTTAACGTTAACGTTACTAACGAAAAGTAAAAGTTGTTGGTTAAAAAAAAAGAAGAAACAAATGAAGGAAACGAAAGAAGTTTTATGATTGTAGTAAAGCTAAACTTTATGAAATGTGCAACTTTAATTTGAAAAGATAGTATGGAAGTATAATAAGAACCTGGGAATAAATCAGTTATTATCCACGAAGTAAAACGCTGGCTGCGAATGAGGCTGCGAAGCAGCCAGTGGCCATTCCGTTATTATCCGATCATCAGATCCGGGTATAATTTTTAGTTATTGCCCACTTCGTGGACAATAACATATACTTATCAATTTATCATCGATTTGGTTACTACTGATTTATCATCATGAATATTTCAAAATGGTTGCTTGGTTATACCTAACAATATGACATAAATTACGTTTGGAATGTTATTGACCTGTCAGTAAACTCGGGTTCTCTATACAGTATAATACGAATGTGTCTACTTCAAAGGTGCGTAGGTCTTTTGTTGCTATCGTTACGTTATATAGTGACTTATGGCACAATTACAACTGTGGTTCTAAAACTATAATTGTATTATATTGCAGTAACATAATTATAGTCCTAAAATCACAATGGTAATTGGATGCGTGTACTTATGTATTTAGTTGGAATACCTATCTACACCTAATACTAATACTCAGAAATTTTTTATTGTTAATACCAAAACTAAATTTTTTTTTTTATTGTTAGGTTTGTCTGTCATTTTTTTGCTTAAATAAATCAATCCAGCAGTGTTGGCATTTGGACTATGCTCAAAAACAAATTTATTTGGACATGGACTAATCGAAATAGTTTCCATGTCATATTTTGTATAATAACCCTTATTCCAAAAATTTTGTTTATTATAGGCTGGTATAGTAATGGCCAATTTGCAAACATTTATGGCTTACTCATATCTCCTTTCCCAAAACTCTTCGAAACATTTCAGAATTTTACTTGAATTTGGTCTTGATCTTGCTCGTATTTTACGTTCTATTCAAAATATTTCTGTAATTCAAATCTACCAGTAAGCATCTAAGCATTTACGTTGATTTGGACGAAGCATCTACTTCCAATAAAAAAAAATATGAACAATATAGACATATACCACAAATGTCTATGTCCAATGGTCCATATTGTCCATGTCCATATTCTGCACATTGGTACTTTTATATTAAATTTGCTTACATCTAAAAAAAACCTCATTTGGATTATATTGCCAAAGTTAAAACCGAAATTATGCATATTTTTTACTGCAATAAAATAAAACGAAAATCAGAACCCGAATTGTAAACCCTTTGAAATATAAAAAGATATCATTTAAATATTCATGAATAATGAGAGCTATAGTTCATATTCAAATACAAACGCGATCGTAAATAGATTTTATTACTTCTTACATTCAATGTAAGTCGACCTCAATCACGGTCATTGTAACAACATTCTGTGCTCTTCTATAGAAATCATTCCACCCTCGGCGATATGTAATGTATCTTCTGGATGTTCATTCCTCTCCAAAACATCCATTGTTGCTTGCGGAATTCTTACATTATTTGGATTTGTTGAGCCAGCTAAACTACCAAACATCATTGCTTCCATTTTAATAAATTCTTCTTCTGAATTAAAAAGTATTTGCATCCGAAATAAATTTGTTTTCTTTATTGTTCTATAAAAGTGATGATAAACATATAATTATAAATATTTTTATCATATTTTAATCAGTATATTTATACACTTACTCGTCTTCCTCAGTACTGAAATGTACTCTAAGAAAACTGTTTATAGAATACGCTAGATTGCAAATTTTCTATTTGGTATAAAATACACCTTAGTATAATATATTACTACTATATTATGAATATGCTATTTAATCTTAAAACTATATGTATATACCCTTAAATGTTGAATAAAAAGCGTTATACTCCATGCTTTGTCAATCTCGAATTCTTCAAATGTATCTTTATTAACGAAGAAATTTGAGAGCACGGATTGCCCGACCCTATCTAGATTGAAAAAT